TTTTTTTTTTTTTTTTTTTTTTTTTTTTGGAAAGATAACGTTGATAGACTGACTCGATTCTGCGTGTTTATGAGGTTTTCTGAGGAGATGATAAATAATGGAAACTGTACTTAACGCGAGAACTTTGGAAAATTGGAATAGATGGCAAGGGATTTTGAAAAATATAATGGAAGAATGCTTGCTACTTAAAATTTCTTATTCTTGTTCAGTATAGAAAAATCGACGACTACACGTCGTGCGTGATGAGATGATTTAATATGTTTCGACGTTACGTTCTCTCATATTTCGAAAATATTTCACACACGATCCAATCCGAGAAGCCATACGTCGAATTAATTCCACGACCGAATGTGTCAATTAATTAGACACGAAACGCGAGCTACCGAGAGATATCATATCCAATGATTCCGGGTAAACGATCAAATTTCCATGTTTCATTTCAGTTTTCACAGTGAAAAGCAGCTTCGTTTCGTTCGGCGAACACTCGAAATACACGAGTATCTTTTTTCGTTTTTCATCTTTTATTGAGCAGTAATCAAGTCGATGGCGGTGCTTAATTAATAATGCGACCGTGCTGATCACCGCCGGTTTTCCCAGGTTGATTGCCATTTAATAAATTTCGGAAATTCAATCTGATCACCGCAAGGAATCCGGCGGAACGACGCTTTTTAATTTAATCTCTTCTCGCGGCAAAGGGGTCTCGCCCTCTCTTCTTCTTGTACCAGAGGCGGTTTTATCGTGATTCAGCAGATGTTTCTCGCGAGTCAAGGGATTGCCGAAGCTCGTTCTCATTTCCTTTCCTTTCCTTTCCTTTCCTTTTCTGGGCTTGAACAACGATTTGGCGGTTTAATCGCGCGCCATTTTCTAGCTCGCGCGCCAAGGGATGAGAATATTTCAGGGGATCTTTTAATTGATCGCGTGATGGGGAAACAATAGCGCGTTTCAAGGGTTCTTTGTTGGAACTCTGGTCGACCATTTCAGTTCACGAAAGGATTTCAGATTGAAACGATTTAGAAGATATTACGAATGGAATCTGTTGCAGATAACAGATTGCTAGGCTATTAGATTATTAGTAGATTTAACTTATTATAACATAACTTACGTTCTAATTAAATACACTGACATTTAGTGTGCTTATTGTTGAATTATATTATAGACTGACACTTGAATGAAATAAAATTTTGCACAGTATCAAAAAATCCCCTAATACAAAGTGGAAATGTTACTGACAGACGGACTACAAAGATCAAAGTGATGCGGAGGGTCGTGTAATTATTTTGGACAGCGTGCAACTGTAAAAAGATAGAAGAAGATAGAAAATGGAGAGTTAAGTAGAGTAGGTAGGTAGAAAAGGCTAGCTAAAAAGCGAAGAAATAC